TAATGGGTACATGGGAGTCCATTCTACTATTCTCTCTACTCTTATGTAGGTTTAAAATTTTCCATTAGAAAAGGTTAAGGAAGGAAGAGAATTCTTTTTAACATATTCCTTGAGCCGAGTCTTGACTTGTTAGTATCCTATGAGTGGCTGGGAATAAAGTGAATCATCTCTCTAATTGAGGCAGCAGCTTTGTGTGCTTGATGATCAAAACTGTCCCTCATCACCAATGTCAGTGTCCCCAGGGTTCCCATGGCCAGTCACAGGTCTAAGGGTTATGTGAGTAGCAGAATCCGAAACAGATGTCTCACCATAGCTGCCACCAGACAGCTTGTGTCATGCTGCTCAGAGGAACAGAAGTCGAACCAGGGGAGAGGACCCTTGGTAATACTGTACCTTCTCTTTCCTTTCTCACTTATTCACTTGTACCTGTTATATGGCACCCTGGACAATCAGCCTAAGACAATATAAAAAGAAAAATCACCTCACCCTGTAAGATGTTGGCAAAATGCTTTCCTATCTTTTACCTAACTTAGTTACTTGGTTAGTAACTGGGTAAGCAAATCTATTTATAGTTGCATGCCTATATTAAAACATACTTTATCATAAAAGTGATATGCAGTTTCAACTAAGTATACAATTTCATCCACTAGTCCTCTTGACAAGCTTCAGAAGTTTCTGTGTGCAATCATCTACATACCTTTAAAGGCACTCTATACTACAATTAGGAGCTCTGGTAGCATAGTGGCTAAGGCACTTGACTGCTCACCAGATGGCTGGCGGTTCAAACCCATCAGCCACTCCTCGGAAGGAAGGTTGGGCAATCCTACTTCCGTAGTGATACTGCCTCGGAAACCCAAGAAGGGGTTGCTATGAGTCAGAGCTGACTCGACGGCACATAACAACAACAACAACAACATACTACAATTAGCATACTGCGCTACCAAGGACAGACAAGAGATGAAAGGGTAAAGAGATCGTGGGGCTGAATAGACAGAACCATCTAAAAAGCATCTGCTCCAAGGTTAGAACCGTACTGATCAACGTGCTTAATAACCTAGACTAACTTGACTTCCTGATCAACTACAAGTACAGATTATTTTACAGAAAACAACGAATGAGTGAGTGGTGAAGAACTGTCGATCCTTACCCCTTGTAAGTGTCATCATTTAGAGGACACCATCCACTTATCTTTAAAATGAGTGCCTCTGGGGGCTTTTAGAAGACTCTTATTATAAAACTCAGGAACAAAAAAGTTCTGAAAGGTAGTATGTGACTGTATCTAAAACATGGGTACTCAGAGAGTAGATTTCAAAATACTAGCTGGTTACTGCTATTTCATCCCGTTCCTTCTAATGGATTAGCAAGTAGGTGCTCAAGTTCAGGAATAGGAAAAGAAGTTAACTTTTATAAAAACATGGAAGGTCCTTAAGTTAGAGATCTAAAGTAGGACAAGTAAGACTAAAAAAGCATTTATGTGAATAAGGTATAAACTTAGGAACCACTGTGATGGAATACCTCCAATTCTGTAACAACAGATAATGAAAGAAATATGCTTAAGAGAATGCTGGTATCCTCTGCTAGGTTAAAAGGATATAATACAAAATGCAGGTAGAGCAGCTACAATCAATGCATATTACCCACAGCAACCCAGAAACTTTCTCACACCAGCCAGCTGTTGACACTCTTCCACACCATTCGCATCTATTGAGAGAGACTGGGCTAATAGGAGTTAGGAATGAAAGTGAAGGTGCCAGAGAGATACACACACTTCCAAAGAAAGTATTCATGACGTTCAAATTATCTGTTTTTTCACATTATCTATATCTCCCTGGAGATTTCCCCTCTACGAGCACAGATCAGAAGTTGAATATGTTTTAAATTATCCCACCATACGCTTGATGTGGGTCTTTTTAAATAGATCGAATCCTAATACCCTTTTGATGTTATTTCACTGTTTACCATGAACCGAGATCAGACAGCTGGGCAGCATCAGGAGACAGCATGTTGGTAGTGCCTTGGAAGAGTCTCTTGGGCTGGCTTTCTGTCTCCATTTCACCTAAACAGAGAGAGACGATGCTGACGTAAAAGAATTTCACAGATACTGGCTTGGTGCTAAAATGGAGTAATCTTTGTTAAACCAAAGCTTATAATTCCTCAAGCTGTTACATAAAAGCTATTTTTCCAAGTGCTTTAAGAAATATACTACTATATAACCTCAAAGAAAAAGCCATCAGCCCCCCAAAAAATTCCTATGTGGCATGCTATTCATGTTCCTTAATAGTAGAACATGGATTGCATCATACAGAATGAATCAAGACAAGTAACAGTAGCTGAAATATTCAAATAGCTGGTGCTCACCAAAAAAACCAAACCCACTGCCACTGAGTTGATTTTGACTCACAGAGACCCCCCATAGGGTTTGCAAGGCTATAAACGTTTACAGAAGCAGACTGCCTCTTCTTTCTCCTGCAGAATAGCTGGTGGGTTCAAACTACCAACCTTCTGGTTAGCAGCTGAATGCCTTAACCACAGTGCCACCAGAACTCCTTAGTGATGCTTACAGTGAATAATAATTTGTGGCAGATGACTAGCAAAGACTATTGATATTCTCTATTTTAATAGTTAAACATTTCCTGAGTTGAAGTTAAATAGGTTAAAAAATACCGTCTGATAAACCTACTGCTATTGAGTCGATTCCAACTTATAGCAGCCCCCAGTGGGTTCCCAAGGCTGTAAATCTTTACAGAAGCAGATTGCCTCATCTTTCTTCTGCGGAGCAGCTGGTAGGTTTGAACTACCAATCTTCTGGTTAGCAGCCAAATACATTCTGATAAGCAGTATATAAATAAAATGTTGCCTTAGACTTTAAGGAACTCTGGTGGAGTAGGGGTTAAAGCATTCTGCTACTAAACAAAAAGGTCAGTGGTTGGAATCCAACAATTACTCCATGGGAGAAAGATGAAGCAGTCTGCTTCCCTAAAGATTTACAGCCCTGGAAACACTAGGGAAGTTCTACTCTGTCCTAAAGGGTGGCTCTGAGTCAGAATCGATTCAATGGCAGTAGGTCCAGACTTTTTAAGGAACCCTAGTGGTGCAGTGGTTAAAGTGCTCAGCTGCTAGCTGAAAGGTTGGCAGTTCGACCACACCAGCCACTGTAGGAAGAAGACGTGATCATCTGCTTCCATAAAGATTACAGCCTTGGAAATGATATGAGGCAGTTCTACTCTGTCCTATAGAATCACTGAGTTGGAATCAACTCAACAGCAATGAGTTTGTGCTTGTGTCAAGATTTTTCTTAGTGAAAACGAAGGAGAAAAATATATTCTGAAAGCACATGTGTAACTGAAAGCAATTAATCAATTTGCAAAATTGACATTTTGTCAGTTTTCTCAGAACTGGTGCAGAAAGCCTCTGCACCCACAGATATAAAGCTAACATTTTGCCACCAGGAGTACAAACACTGACAACTCTAAGAAAGAAAAAGCCCCTTTCAAAACGAGCTATAATTTGAATTCAAATATGCACACATCTTGGTTGTGAAGCTTTTTATCTGACCTTTAAAGTGGGATGAAAAATATAATTTCAATCATGAGTCTATCTATGTTCCATAAGAAATAACTAACTTTGAACTTAAAACTCTACAAAATTCTTAAGATGAAAAAAGAAAAAGCATTCATTTTTGTATTAACTGCTTCATATTATCTTTCCTCTGGACCTAGTTTGAAAATTCCTGAAATTCAGAAGGGGTCCTATTTTAGTTTGCTTTTTCCATGCTTTAATATGTAGCCTTTAAAAGCTGTTGCCAGGCTTTCAACTGCACCTCATAGCAAAAGACTTTAGCCCTTTTTAGCAAAGAACCTCTCCATCTGCTGGTATATTTTGGAACAGCTATGAAACTAAACAACTATACTAATTCTACCAAATGGATGTTGGCTGAAAGCAAAGAATATCAGAAAGATATTTACCTGTGTTTTATTGACTATGCAAAAGCATTCAACTGTGTGGATCCTAACAAATTATGGATAACGTTGAGAATAATGGGTTCCAGAACACGTAATTATGCTCAGGGGGAACCTGTACACAAACCAAGAAGCAGTTGTTCAAACAGAAGAAGGGGATAATGCACGGTTTAAAATCAGGAAAGATGTGTGTCAGGGTTGTGTTCTTTCACCATACTTGTTCAATCTGTATGCTGAGCAAATAATGTGAGAAGCTGAACTACATGAAGAAGAACACAGCATCAGGATTTGAGGAAGACTCATTAATCACCTATGATATGCAGGTGACACAATCTTGCTTGCTGATAGTGAAGAAGACTTGAAGCACTTACTGATGAAGATTAAATGCTACACTCTGCGGTATGGATTACACCTCAACATACAGAAAATAAAAATCCTCACAACTGGACACATAAGCAACATCATGATAAATGGAGAAAAGACTGAAGTTGTCAAAGATTTCATTTTACTTGGATCCGCAATCAATGCCAATGAAAGCAGCAGTTACGACATCAAACCTCATATTGCGTTGACCAAATCTGTGGCAAAAAACCTCTTTAAAGAGTTAAAGAGCAAAGACATCACTTTGAAGATCTAAGCCACGGTGTTTGCAACTGCCTCCTATGCATGCTAAAGTTGGACAATGAATAAGAAAGACCACAGAAGAACTGATGCCTTTGAATTATAGTGTTGGCAAAGAATCCTGAATATACCATGGACTGCCAGAAGAACAAACAAATCTGTCTTGGAAGAAGTACAACCAGAATGTTCCTCAGAAGTAAGGATGGTGAGGTTTCATCTCTCGTACTTTGGTCATGTTGTGAGAAGGGACCAGTCCCTGGAGAAGGACATTATGCTTGTAAAAGTAGAGGGTGAACAAAAAAGAGGAAGAGCCTCAACAAGATGGATTGACACAGTGGCTGCAACAATGGGCTCAGACAGCAAAGACTGAGGATGGCATAGGACTGGTCAGAATTTCATTCTGTTGTATATATAGGGTCACTACGAGCTGGAACTAACATTAATTTGACCAACTTACTTCCTACAACTAATATAACAATAGTTTTCTTTTCTTTTTTTTATTGTGATTTGGGTGATAATTTACAGAGCAAATACACTTTCCATACAGCAGTTCACATACACTTTGTCTCATGACATTGACCACAATTTAGCACAATGCAACATCTCCCCTCCCACTTCCTCCCCATAG